TATATGGGAGTTTTTGCGAAATTGACGCGTTTCCATTAGGCGTATTTTCAATTCGCAATTTCAATTTGCGTAATTTGAAGGGTAATGGAAACGTGCCTAGAGAAAACACGGAAAGCCGTAGAAACTCGTCTTTGGCGGGGAAAGAGTTAATAAATCAGCAAATAAAGAGAAAGAAATTATATAATCCCCCCCCTTCTCTAAGTGAGCAGGTTTCATTCAGTATTAGTATTTCTTGATCAATTGCTGTGAAATTGTATCGTCCTACTGTAAACATTTATGTTGTATTGTCTTGTGAGAACTGCATATTGAAACAAGTCACTGAAACAAAATTTCCCCAAGGGGATGAATAAAGTTACTTAATAAAACAGAGAGTTCCGGTGCTTGATTCTGATTGGCTGAGCCGCGTTCGAAGCTGTTGTAAATGACTCTACAAAGTAACACACACCTTTGTTTACGTTTGTCTGTTGCTCGGCAACCACTTTGTAGCAACCACAACTGTTTCTGAGGAGCTACATTGTTTGGTGGAAGAATACTGTTTTTATTAATATCATTACACTTTATTTGCTCCGTTTTATTTGGTGAAACCTTACTACGTATATGGAATAACCGTCTTATAAAAGCAATAATCCCCGTGAAGCCGTGGTTTACAGTGAATTTATAACAGCTAAGGGGTGTTGTTAGGTACAACGTGAAGCTGTTATGTAAGCTGTTAGCTCCTCAGAAACAGTTGTGGTTGCAACAAAGTGGTTGCCGAGCAACAGACAAACAAGGTGTATGTACGTTTGTCTGTTGCTCGGCAACCACTTTGTAGCAACCACAACTGTTTCTGAGGAGCTACATTGTTTGGTGGAAGAATACTGTTTTTATTAATATCATTACACTTTATTTGCTCCGTTTTATTTGGTGAAACCTTACTACGTATATGGAATAACCGTCTTATAAAAGCAATAATCCCCGTGAAGCCGTGGTTTACAGTGAATTTATAACAGCTAAGGGGTGTTGTTAGGTACAACGTGAAGCTGTTATGTAAGCTGTTAGCTCCTCAGAAACAGTTGTGGTTGCAACAAAGTGGTTGCCGAGCAACAGACAAACGTAAACAAAGGTGTATGTTACTTAAACTAACTAAGTAACTGATAATGAGGAAAATGATAATAAAGAAAAAATCATCAAGTAACACACTGAATTAAGTGCGAAAATTTTAGAAAGACTGAAAAAATATTTTTGTAAAACATACTCCAATATTTTCTGTTTTATTTACAACTTAAAAAAAATAATCAAATTTAATTTCCATTAGCTGATAAAATCATGAAGTAGTATATTCAGTATAAAATACAACTGAAAATACACTTAGTATCTGTTATAGTGAATATTATGTGTGCTGGTTTTAATTAAATATAATAGATAGTCTAATTAATAAATCAATAAAAATAAAGTGAAAAATTTAAGAATATTTAGCTTAAAGAAAATGCCTATTTTTGTAACATTATTTATGTAACAATTAAAGGTATTGCAAAGAAATAGACTTAATTTTCTTTTCTCTTCATTTATTTATAAATAAATAAATAAATAATATTTATTAATCTGTTAACTATTTAATTCATGATTTGTTTGGGGTGAAATGTGACCTGTATGTTTCTTTGTGACCTTCAGGCCAGAAATCAAATATAGATCCTGATCAAAAACAGGTTTGACATAAAGCCACAGGTGTGTGTTCTGTACCTGAGCCGTCCGTCCTGCGCCGCGGCTCCTCCTGGGATGATCTTAGTGATGAAGATACTGGGATCGTCTCCTATGTGAGGGTTATCAGTCCCACCGGCGATACTGAAGCCCAGGCCGGAGTTACCCTACACACACACACACACACACACACACACACGCACACACGCACACGCACACACACAAGCGCGCACACACACACACACACACACACACAAGCTGATGCTCATGCACTAGCGCTCTCATATGATGCATTTGAGAAGAGCTGAAAGGAAGAGACGTCTCTAACCCTCTCCAGTGTAATCTCCTCATACTCCACGTCTCCGTCCATCCCGTTCATCTGAGAGACAGAGAGAGAAACATCATTCATCAGTAACATTACTCACTGAGCATTTCTTCAGCACAGGATCACACGGACTCCAGCTAATCTCAGGTGATTCTCCGTGATGCTCAAACACCTGCATCACAATGTATGTTTGTTTGTACCAAGAGCTCCTAAAAAACACAGGCTCCTTCTGTGTTTGCGAACAAATCTCGTTCTTATTCTGATTAAAGATGTTTTCTTTGAATTGTTTGACACCTCAAAAGAGAATACAGCAAAATATACCTTGTGTTTACTGCTAGCTAAATTTCAGATACATAAACAATAATCTGATGATTCTGATGACAAAAAAATTATTCGCGATCCATCATTTCAGATCGGGACTTCGGAGCGTGAATCCCGAATCTGTCGATTTGTGAAATGATTCGCAAACCCGATCGATTCTAAGTTCCGATCTGAATCAAATACGCACTCCGATTGGAGCACTTGGAAACAATTAATCATTTTGCGACACAATGGTTTAACTCACTGATTCTCAAAGCGTGTTACGTGGGCTCCCTCTAGTGGCACGCAGAGGAATCACCGACTTAAATATTAATTAATGTTAAAACTAGGGATGCACCGACACCACTTTTTCCAGTACTCGCCCGATACCGATACTTTTATTTTTGGTACTTGTCGATACCGAGTACCGATACCGATATTTTTATTGCATTTGTACATTTTTAAAATATTGGGTACAGAAACCAAAAGGGTATGTATAATGTTAGTCGGTTAACTTCATTTATCAAATAGATACAGTCAAACCAAAATGTATTCAGACACCTTCAACATTTCTCACATTATCACAGTTTATTCGCTATAGTTTAGAAAATTATAATAAAATATAACAAGAACTCAGAGTTACACTGTGTCAGAACAAATTCAGCTTGATAATGTTAGATAACTTTGATAGAAAGGTATGTAATAGATTACAATCAACCAAAAATTATTCAGACAGCTGTTAGTATGACAGTATTTACACAACCATCAATACTTAGTCGGGCAGCCCTTAGCCTCAGTGACAGCCTGTAGTCTCCTGGGCATGCTGTCATCCAGCTTCATGCAAACCTCAACTTCAGTTTTCTCCCAGACTCGGTCTGAATAATTTTTGGTCCCAAATTTTTTATCAGTTTTACTGGTAATCCACTGTATGAAGAATTTTTGGAGAGAGCGAGAGTCTCTCTCTCTAGATATATTCACTCGACAAGCTCGCGCATCTGTGCCGCCGCGCACTCAATCCACTCAGCGTGCTTTATCAGCTCGCGCACATCAGCAATACAGGCGTTAATACTGAATGTTTAACATTATATTCATTGCATACATATACTTCGTAGACATCCTTAATCTCTAATAACTCCATTCTGCTGTCTGTTGTTCTGTTGTCGGTGTTTCTTTGTTTGAATATGGAACTGATCACATGCTGTGTAGTATCGGCGTTTGGTATCGGGGCATTTTAACGAGTACGAGTACAGGAGACCAGTATCGGGTCCGATACCGATACCAATATCGGTGCATCCCTAGTTAAAACAGTGTTTCCCAACCACTGTTGTTGGGCGTGCCGTGGAAAATGATCAAAAACTTCCTTATCTCTTATATTTCGTTATTATTTTAAATCAGTGCTATTGGTCATTGTTATGGCGGATTGTGAGTTTTACAAATATTTACCAATGAAAAGCATTCTAAAGAGCTTGTGACTAAACACGCCATTGGATCCTCGAACTGTCAGTCAAACCTCATAACTCCACCCCGCCTCCATTCAGAATGAAGCGCTGCGACGCGCAGTTTGAAGACAGATGTCTACTTCTTTGCAGTGCAAGGGTAAATAAAGAACTGATGTCTGAATAAGTAAAGCGTTTTCTTTACTCAAGAAATGCTGTCTATAAAGGCTAATGTTTTTGTGTGTATAAAGAGCAGAGAAGAGTCTTAGCATTTGCTGTCTAGTTGTAGCCAATACACTTTTATACGTTTTAAATATCATAGCTGTTCGTCTTTTACAGTGGCGGCTCGTCGGGGGAGGCACAGCTTCCCCAAAATTTTGAGGTGAAAATGGGAGGAGGACGATTTAATGTTAATAAAATTCACAATTCATTTCAATTAATGTCTCAGAATGTGTATTTTTTGTTTGTAATTCCACAGCTGTAATACCATAACATGTTACTGAAGTTGGAAAGCGCCGCATTTCTATAGCGAATGTGCCGAATCTGCTGATGTAATTACAACCGCTAGGTGATAGAGAAGGGGAGCGCGGAGCTCTCGTGCCTCCGTTGGTAAAAAAAAATCAGCCAATCAGCATCGAGTGTTGACTTTCAGCGCTGAGGAGTGTTGAGAAAAGAAGCCTCGCAAGGGAGGCTAGCCTCCTTCTGATATCAACCAATCATCACAGAGACGTATGTTACGTGATATTAGTTTGAACGTCTGCCGCTGCGCTGATAATGTACCTAGTACTTATGATGAGTAGCGATGTTTATTATTTGATCGCCAACAGATTTACCAAGCTGTCATTCAAACAGTATACATACAAATTAAAACTAAAGGGAGAACACGCCTAAGCTGGATACAGGCTAACGTTACTAATAATCAGCAGGGACCCCCAGACCAATACAATTAGTGTGCCTCCTCTATTTTAAAACCCACAAGCCACTGGTCTTTTATATCGTGAGATTTTGGCCAAATGTGTTAAACAACAAGAGAAACTGAGCGCCCATATAGCTACAATAAACTTTATAACCTGCAAACTGGTGAAAACGTGATGCTATTAATTTACTGCCTCAGATGCAGCTGTTCTAATGACGGACAAAACACAGATCTCGGTCACTCACTCGTCAAAAACCCCTTTAACTACATTTGAGTATGATTTTCAGAAAGTAAGTGCAAGTGTCTGATCATATATAAAGCCAAAATACCAGCTCTGATGACGCAATTAATTATTGGAAAAAAATCCTAATAAAAAATACGTTTCCCCTTTCCATCTTTTTTTTTGTTGTTTGTTTTTTTGTAAGCTAGTGGTGTGCGTGGGATTTTTTACATATCAAAACAAATAAACAATATATATAACAAACATGATTAATGTAACAATTTTAAAGAACAAAGGTTGTTTTGTGATAGCTTTTGGAGCAAGGGCGCCGCCATCTTGCAGTGTGACGTCACGGGGTTGGTTCGCTCCGATGGCCAGTGAAGTAATAGAAGCATTTCTTTACATTTTGAACACACGCTTGTTTTGAAATGGAGGAAGATGACCTTTTAACTTTGGGTTATCACAGCGTTTAAGTGCCGCACTGAAATCTATTCCGTGCTGTCTCACGCTTGAATGGCTTAAAACACTTAGATGTATAACCAAGGCTTAAAACACGTGAGAATGATAAACTTTACTGAGGAAGCAGCACTGGTCCGATTGTTCAGATACGTGATTCGTTAAACACTACGTCCAGTTAACAGCAGGAAAGCTGATTGTATTCGCAGGTGAACATAAAATATGATACATACAACTGGTGAACCAGTCAATGTAATGCATCTTAATGGTCTGACGTAACAATAAAATGCGACATGAATGATATTGTATGAAGCGTTGTTTGTTTACATCACGTTGCGCCTCGCATTATGACAACAACGTTTGGGATACCACGATCAAAACTTAGCATATAGACAGTTTGATGTTGAATATTCATCCAAATTATGGTGAAAACCAAATTATTTGTGTGTACCTAATTTTTTAACTGTGCATAGCTGTAGCTGAATAATTAGGCCTACTACGCTGCTGTATTTTAATGTTGGTCATTGGTGGTGCTTGGAGAGCCAAATATTTTCTGAGGTGGTACTTGGTGTAAAAAGTTTACTGGGTTAACTGATTCAGAGTTTCGTTATCGGTCTACTTGATCTGTAATAATCGGTATCGGCATCGGCCTTGAAAAACACATATCGGTCGACCCCTAGTTTGCAGGGCTATGTGGTCCGAAACAGACATCTATAATTGGGCTAAATTTAGACCAAATCAGACGGACCAAACAAAGCCCAATTTTCAACGTCTATTTTTGGGCTAAATAAAGAGACTAAGACGGGCAGACTGGATTTAGCCCAAAAAAACAACGTGGACGTCTGGTGTTTGATGAATGGTTTAACTGAGTTTCGAAAAGCTCTGTTTCGAACCAGTCAGTGTAATGCATATGTCTTAATGGTCTGACATAACAATAAATTGCGACATGAATGATATTGCATGAAGTGTTGTTTGTTTACATCACGTTGGGCCTCGCGTTATGAAAACAATATGTTTGGGATACCACGATCAAAACTTAGCATATAGACAGTTTGATGTTGAATATTCATCCAAATTATGGTGAAACCCAAATTATTTGTGTGTACCTAATTTTTTAACTGTGCATAGCTGTAGCTGAATAATTAGGCCTACTACGCTGCTGTATTTTAATGTTGGTCATTGGTGGTGCTTGGAGAGCCAAATATTTTCTGAGGTGGTACTTGGTGTAAAAAGTTTACTGGGTTAACTGATTCAGAGTTTCGAAAAGCTCTGTTTCACCATCACTACGTGTCGAAATTCAAGAATGAATGGCTCTTTTTAACTGGTTTTTGCAAGTGAATCGCTTGTACATATATTCTTAAGGACATCAAAACCTAAAATAAAACTCCAGAAAGGTGTAAAATATGTGACCTTTAAAGAAAGTTTTTGTCAGAGCCCTTGTTATTCTTAATTTTGACATTAATTTTCATTTTTACACCAGACATATATATCGGTTCAAAATATCGGTTATCGGTCTACTTGATCTGTAATAATCGGTATCGGCATCGGCCTTGAAAAACACATATCGGTCGACCCCTAGTTTGCAGGGCTATGTGGTCCGAAACAGACATCTATAATTGGGCTAAATTTAGACCAAATCAGACGGACCAAACAAAGCCCAATTTTCAACGTCTATTTTTGGGCTAAATAAAGAGACTAAGACGGGCAGACTGGATTTAGCCCAAAAAAACAACGTGGACGTCTGGTGTTTGATGAATGGTTTAACTGAGTTTCGAAAAGCTCTGTTTCACCATCACTACGTGTCGAAATTCAAGAATGA